GAAATTTCTTATTTGTTTAGTATTGGTCAAGCACACTATTACCTCAAAGTTGCGAGAACTATTTTTTCTCCATCCTAATGAGGAAAGCTGTAAGATACAAAGCTTGAAGCTAACAGTGTAAACACAGCTCTAAAAAAATAAAATAACGAAACAAAAAAAAGTCTGATTACTTTATAAGTATCTGCTGTGCAGGCCCCTAACCAAATCTCTTGAAATTCTCCAAGAGAACAAAGCAAAGTGTAAACAGCAATGAGGAAAACAAAAGAATTGGTCTTACTTTTTAACAGGAGTAGAAGAACACAAATAACATCCTTAAGGGTGAGTTGTTGCAATTACACATATTTCTTTTAAGCAAATATTGGAACACACCATTGTTATTTGCCAGAAATATATTTAGTGGGAATCAGAGCTTGTTTTATAATCATTGTGCCTTTTGCCAGGGAGATGAGAAAGATGTGTGTAAGATCTTCCTCCAAATTATATTCTGACAAAATACCTCAAAGTGAACCACCTTTAAGATTAACCTTAGCTGGGCAGATTAATTAGAAATTCTAGTGCTGAAATCACTCATGTGCACCCAGTAATTGTTTTCTAAGTTACATCCAGGTACCTCCCCTCCTGATGGAGTGTCTGTCTGCTAAGCAAGTGCTGAACCACAAGTCTCAGTTCCACAAAGTAGAGACCAGCTGTATGTCTTTGGGGAAGCTGCAGAGGTGCAATTAATTTCCTTTTCCTCAGACAGCTAAATCAAAGAAATCAGCAGTTAAATAACACCTGATGATGGTTTTTTTTTTAATTCAGCTGGCACAGTAAATTTATCATGTGATCCTACAGAAAAACTCCTAGAACTGTTCAATCCTTGCTAACTGTATGTTTATTTATCTCATCAAGATACAGCGAGTTACAACAACATTTACTCCAGATATTAATTACATATCCAAGAAATGCATGGAAAATGCTAATACCTATCTTTAACATGGAATGCTTGAGATGATTTCCCCTGAGCTCTCATTCTTGAGGCTCTGCCTCAGTGGTCTGAAGTTGCAGCCTGGGTTTATTGGGATTGTGCTCAATCAGCCATTGAGCGAGCCAAGTCTGTGAAATAAAAAGAACATCCTCAGTGTTTCCAGTAGAGCATATGGGAGAAAATGAAATTACAGAGACCCTCCTACTATACTGAGAAATGAAGACAAACAAATAACCTATTTTCTAAACGTTATTTTACATCTTCACGACTTACAGTGCATTTGAACAATTCCTACTGATCTTTGGAAGCCAGCTTTTCCTGACAATGTCTATCTTTGTGAACATTTCAGCAACACTTCAAATAATCAGGCAAACTCCTTTCTAAAATGTCTCTAGAGCATGCATAGAAATGCTCAATGAAATATTACTTCTAATAATATTTACAGATACAGACCTAGTAACCTTCCATTAAATGTCACGTTCTTCTGCACTGAAACCACCTTATAATGCTTAAAAATTAAACATTATTGAAATTCACTTTTTAAGTTTTCCAGTAAATTGTACTGATATAAAAATGTGGGAGGTAGGAATGTCCTGAGTTCTAACTTTGTCTGCCAATGGCTGGCTTGGCCTTAGGCAAATTAACCTCTTTGCCTCAATTCCTCCACTTGTAAAGAGAAGTTTTTAACACATCCTTATTTACTTCACAAGGCTGTTGACAATTTGTTTCTGGAATGCTAAGTGGAGCCAACTTCATACTATACTGTGAAGTAAAAGAATTGATAGAATAGTAGACCAGTAAGGTAAGCAACACTCTCCTTGTAATTCCAGATACAGAAAGATTGGTTTGTAAAGAGTGAGACAAACAAGCAGAGCACTAAGGCAAAGGCCATGCTCCCAGGTTGGCAATAGCAGCAACCCCTCCCCAAAGCCCTTGGAGAGACTAATTAGAATAGAACTTTTAATAGAACTTTTAAAAACAGTTGATTTCCTTCTGTGACAAGGTCACAGGCTATGGACAGGGAAGGAGCCTATGGACACGGCTTCAGGTGACTTTCTTACAAGCAGGGAAGAGATACGTGGTCTAGATGAAGCTACTGTTTGTTATTACATAACTGTCTAGAAAATTGCGTTCAGGATGTGGGGATTAGTTGGAAACAAAACAGTCAAAGGGTTAGAAAATGTCGAGGTAGGCAGAGGGAAAAAAAATTCTCTGTTTTGGACAGTGAAGAGATGACCAATGGGAAAAAGAAGGTAATACTTCAAATAAACAAAAGGTTGCTACAAAAAAGGAGATACCATATTAGCTCTAATGTCCTCTGGGGAGAGTTTAAAAAAAATGAAAGAAGAAGGAAAACAAAGAAAAAAAAAGTGTTTAAAACTGGAGCAAAGCAGATATAGGCTACATTTTAGGGAAAGGTTTTCAACTAAGTGTAATTAAGCAGTGAAACAGATTGCCTAGGGAGATTGCAGATCCTGCTACAGACCAGTCCAGACAAACATTTGTCAGGAATGGATGGGTACAATTGCTCTGGCCTTTGGGCAAACAGACCATGAAAGGACTTCTTTGGGAACCTTCCATCTCTATTTTTTAGATGCCTACAATAACAGCGACAGACATACATAAAGTGAAAGGATTATAAAATAAGAACAATCACAGGACATTTCATCTCACCTCATGTATATCACCAAGGCCACAGATAGGCCTCTCTGAATTATTTTAAGTCTTCTTCTTCTGAAATGTATCTTTTAGAAGAATGCAATCTTGATTAAGAAACTGATAATGATGTAGAATCCACCACAATTGCCAGTAAGTTGTCACACTGACTAATTATCCACATTCTTAAAGAGTGTTAGTGTGAATGACTGAACTTTGAGAAGGCAAAAAGCATTTACCATATTTTTTTCCAGACTAAAGAAAACTAATTCTGTTTAGGATAAATAAAAGTTTTTGTTTAGGAAGAGGGGGAAAAAAAATGTGTGGAGGGGGAAATTTGTCTGCACACTGCAGAATTGCAAACTAATCACAGAACTGCCATTTGGATGAGATCCACAGTTAAAAAAATAATAGTTTATGAGAGGAGGGCAAGATGCATCAGCTTGAACAACCAGAAAGAGGTCACTAAAATTTTCTGCAGGTCGACGTGATCATTTGACTCAAAGAATACTCAGCTTCGCTCAGAAGCAGCATTGCTTTGCTGGTGAACTAAATGCTGGTGTAGCCTAAATATTTCCTTATCCTAAAGGATTAAATGGATATCACTAAATTAAATAAACATAATAATATAGACAGCCTTGCTAAGAACACCAGAATGTTTTACTCAACTGTGTAGCTACTTTCAGAGTGATAATTGTCTAATTTCATTTAATACCTACTGTATCAGAGCTATTTCACCTCAACCTTGTCTCAGAAACAATAAATTAAGATTGATATTTGACATCATATAAAAGTATCTGTTTACAACCACGTGTTAGAGAACATTTTTATAGTAGTCTCTTAAAAATACTGCAATTTCATCAAATCTGATTTAATTTAGTCCTCAACTTCATTTTACCTATTAACTAACCTGCCAACTTATTGGAAAGCAAACGTTATTCTTTTTACCTTATTAGCAGGTAGCTAAAACAGCATAGCTTAGCCTCTAACCAAAAAAGAAAAAAGGAAGAAAAAAAGAAAAAAAAAGAAGAATAAAGGGAAAAAAGAAGAAAAAAGGAAGAAAAAAAGAAAAAAAAAGGAAAAAGAAGAAAAAAAGGAAAAAGAAGAAAAAAAAGGAAAAAAGCAACTTTTCTATAAATGGGACCATGAATATGAAGTAAATGTATCACACGTATACAGCACAGTACTGATATCCTGTACATACCATTGGATCTGCTGGCTTCTCTTTACAAAGCGCGGTGAGCCCAGCCAGCAGAGTAGGATTTACATAAAGGTTCAAGTAATCCACAGCTGCTTGTCGAGTTGGAATTGGCTCTAGGATTGCTGTAAAGAATAATCACAGGTACTGGAAACAACTTGTACAATGTGTGTTGTTTATATATGAGTCTATATTTACCTTGATGTTAATGATATGTAATGGCTCGTATACCTTCTCCCACAATAAACTGCAAAAAAATCCCTACTTTAACACCTTTACAATGTCCCTGAGGTAATCACTAATTATAGCTGATTATAAAAGTGAGGAAATCAGACCATCCAGGAACACATCTACATCCTTGAAGATCTATTGGGGGTATGGGAGAAACAGTATGTCCCATGTTCATGCTTTTTTATAACAGCGTAAGGCCGAGTTCTGAACAGCCTAAAAGTCTCATGTCGAGTCCAGTTTTTCTTTTGGGGTGAGGGAGAGAGACATATGGTTTACATGAGGTTTGTAGGGCAAAGTAATATATTTTATTGTATTAACTGAAAGAGCTGGCTTGATTTCTGCATCTTTCTGCCAAAGACCAAAGTCATTTCCCAAATGTTACATTATAAACAAGGACTCTCTCCCAAGCTTTGCAGGTTCTATGGCCCATTTCTCTGGCACTTAACTCTGGAATTGCACTATCAGCAGCTCTCGAACAGGAATTACTCAACCTGAGCCTATGAAGAGTCTCCTCAAACAAAGAGGAGCTCCTGGGCTGATGTTGCCAGAACAAAAAGTGCTTCCTACTTCCTCTTACTACTTTTGTCCGCTCCAATTTCATTTCCAAACCACAGAGTTTGAAAAACACAAGCAGCCCCTGTAACTATAATGGCTCTTCAAGTCATTCAAGCTTTCAGTGTGCCACTCATAGCAGAAAATACCAACTTAAATAGAAACAAGCCCAACTCCTTCTAAAGCCAATTGTATCCAGGGTTTGGACACAAGCAAGTAATACCTGGGAAGGACACTATCTTCCCAAAGACTGGCTATATGTTAGTTACAGCACTTTACCTTCTGGAAACATGAATCGAATTTCTCTTTCTGCTGAGGAAAGGTTATGACTGCCATGAAGTGCATTCCTCAGATCATCAGTCCCATAGATGGCTCTTAAACTAAAAGCAAGAGAAAGAAATTTTGGCAGGCAGCTGCAAATCCCTTTCAAGTCTCTGCAGTCCAAGACCATACAAAAGCAATATATATGCACTAACTAAGAAGACATTGGCTTGGTGCTTTAGTTTTCAACAAAATGAGCAGCTAACTAAAATTTGCATTCGCACACTCAGCATTCTCTATAAAATAATTGAAATTTATATACTGAAAAACAATGGTGATGAGATGTTACACAGAATGTCTAAGAGCTAACAGGCGATCACAGATCTGTATTTCTATTGTATGGAAAAAAAAAAGAGAGAGAGAGAGAGAAATTCCAGTCTCAATTAAAAGAATTACAAAATCCCACTAACCTGAACAAGTGAGTTACCTGTCAGGGTGAGTTTCCCTAGCTTTTATGCTGTTCGATGGTCCAAGCAGCTCCTTCCAGTACGAGATTGCATTATGTCTGGCAAGAACCATAGCAACTAAAGGTCCAGAACTCATATAAGCTGTTAAATTGGGAAAAAACATTTTTCCGTATTGGTCTGCATAAAAATTGCTACATTGTTCTGGGCTTAGTTGGAGCTTCCGTTTCTACAGTGTTTAAAAAAAAGAAAAAAGAAAAAAAAAAAGAAATTAAGCACCTCTAAGTAAGACACCATTTTAGTCACTATTCTACAAAAATCACTTAATCTAAGTGACTTGGTGACTTGATGTACAGCCAGGGAAGAGTATAGAAGGGAAAAGCCCCACAAGGTCAGGATTTACTTACTCAGCTGCTCCAGCACCATGTTCCACTTTCCCACAATATTCCTTTTACCCCTCACCATTAATTATGCAACTTGTATTTTTCATTCAACGTACTTATGCTTTATGATTTTCAGATCAGCTATGCAGATCTAGCCTGCAGGTGGCCATGATGAGGACAAGTGTGGTGAGCTGCCATAACAGCATTGTGGGGCAAAAAATAAGAAAAGATTCAAGTGCACTCCTTGATACGGAACTTTTTAAAGAGGGCACATTCAATGCTTAGTAATTTAAGTCCTAAAATCACTCGCAACACCAGAAGCCACTATGAACGTTTTTGCATTTTCTTTTGGAAGTGATTCTGATACATATCCTACAAATAAAAAAACTGGGGGAGAAGAACAGGTTAAAAAAAAACAGGTGTGAAAGAGGGACTCACAGAAATTTGAAAACATTTAGTGTATATACTATACATACCTATATATGCACATATACTATAGTATATATATATATATATATATGAAATATTACATATACTATATTTTATATATGCATATGATTTTTATTTTCATGTACAAATATGCACACATAAATGCATATATATGTATGTACACATATATACTATATGTATAGTATACACATGTATACTATATGTATATGTGTATATATAGTATATATGTCTATGTATACATATACTATATATGTGTATGTATGCATATATAGTATATGTAGACATATACTATATATGTGTATGTATACACATATGTGCTATATGTGTATATATAGTATATATGTCTATGTATACATATACTATGTGTATGTGTATACACATACACATATATAGTATATGCGTGTGTGTGTGTATATGTATGCACATACATGTGTATATATGCACATATGTCTGCCTTCAGTGTATATGTGTATATAGATGTATGTGCATATATATGCACATTACCTGCTCTAGGTGACCCTGCATGTGCAGGGGGGTTGGACTAGATGACCTCTAGAGGTCCCTTCCAACCTTAAGCATTCTGTGATTCTATGATATAGAGATGTGCATACATAAATACATTTATGTGTCTGTGTGTGTGTGTATATATATATACATATATACATATATACACATATATACAGGAGGAAGGGCAAGGCCAGCGTCCCTCATTGAGAGGCTCCTCCGCAGCATCACAAGTTGCCAAGGGCGCTGCAGGAGGCGCCAGCGCCGCAGCATGAGGAGCAGGAGGAGGAGGAAGGGGAGGAGGACGACGACGAAGGGGAGGAGGAGGAAGAGGAGGAGGAGGAGGAAGGGGAGGAAGAGGAGGAGGAGGAGGAAGGCTCCCGGCCGCCTCAGCACGGCTGTGGGACGGCGCCCCCCGGCGGCAGCGCGGCCCCGGGTTGCTCCAACACGGCTAAAAAAAAAGAAAACTTAGGATAACTCATTCCCGCGCTAAAGACAGATGTTTTCCCATAACAAACACGGGAAACTTAGGAAATACTTGAAAACATGCCAGATGTGTCAGAGTCCATTAATTCTGGCAGTACCCGCTTGGCAAACGTGTGAAGCCCCGCGACACTGGAAAATGAGGCTCTCCGCAGTTACTCCGGAGGGTCCACATTAGCAGCTACATGTGTTTCCTACATAAACATGAAGAAAGTCTGTGTTTCCTCGTGGGCTCCATAATAGCGAATATGTCTATCCTTAAGTTTTGCTCTTAGATTTGCAGCAAAACATATCCTGGCAATATCTGGCAGTGGTGGCTGGGCATATGAAAAAAAATATATTTTTTCGCATGTTATCCTGTACTTACTTACTTACTTCATTGCTTGCAGGTAGGCTACATATTGTTCTGCCTTATGAATGGCAATTATTTTATCTGCAACACAGACTGTTACCTGAACGATCAGGAATCCTGATTTCAGCACGATATCCTCGATCTCTTCTTCTTTATCAAAGACATCTGGCTTGATGAGGGCCAGAGTTTTTTCCACGGGAATCGGAGGCTCGGGCATTAACGGCTGCATCTTGGCTTGGGGCTGCAATTCCGGTGCCTCTTTTGCCCTGCAACGATATCGGTTGGTGACACTTGGCATTTGCCTGAGCGCACAGTAAAGCAGGGGGACATTTCCTGCGTGCTCTAGGAGGGAAGCAGATTATCGCGGTTCCAGGATATCTGCAATGTTTTCTTTTGCGGTGCAGCAACGCTTTGTAGAATTGTTATTATTGTGAGTCCGTAAGTTACTGAGGGAAGCCTGGCTCACGCTATAGCGGTGATAAGCCCCATGGCCGCCCCAAAAGCCAGGGAGGGAGCTTCTTGCTCTGGAAGAGATAGGGGCAGACACCAGCACCCCGGCTGGTCACACAGACAGATGGACGGACAGAGTTTGGAGCAGCCGAGCAGGGGGACACCCCGGCAGAGCGGCTGCTCCCTCCCCGCTCGCC